GCTAGAGAGTTTCCCCATTTCAATTCTTTAAACTTCTGCAAGGCCCGTATTGCAACATGCATTGCCGTTGTGGATAATGACACCTTTTTGATTTATCAAACTCGGCTGTTTTTCTTGATTAGCCACATTGGGATTGGTGAATTAGTCACAATACTTCTTTGCAGTTATTGTTTCATGAAAGCTCGAAGGGAATTATCTCTCTGCAATACCGCCAAATGGACAGCAACCTCTTCATTGGATGCAAGACCCTTTTAGCCACACGTTCTGTACATTCACAAGCTTGTTTCTTTCTGCTCCATTTGCATCAAACATAAATGATTCATTTTTCATTACTTGCGACAATTCTAAGAATGTCTCTTTCTTGTGGCACAACTACAAAGAAATTGCTCTGTTCCATCAGAGAATGTGGCATCCACTTGATGACTTATGAAACAAACCCAAGTCTCTTTAAATGGTGAAAGCCAGTTGACATGATGGATTTTTTGAAACTGTTAGCAATCTCTTCCATCAAAATCTTTGGTTTATTCTCCACGATGTCAAGCAGAGCATCTTCATTGACATTGGAATCTTGCCCAGAGTGTAGTTGATCGTTTAAGCTAAAATCATGTTGACAAAATCTGCCGAACGACACTTTGACCATCCAAAGAGCTGGTTTTTGGTTTGGTTTGGTTTGTTTTATGGCATATCAACTTCAATGGGTTATTTAATGCTGACAAAATTTTTATTGATAGTAATATTTTGTTTTGCCAAAGATCTATTTCTGGTAATATTTTTCATTCAAAAATGTGTTGTTGGTAATATTTATTTTTTAAAAAAACATTGTTGGTAATATTTTTTTTCAAAAAAGTATTGCTGGTAATAATTTTTTTAAAGTATTTCTGGTATTAAAACCTATTTTTACACTTTCATGGTGTTTTGGCCCCAGTTTTGGGGTTAACTATTTTCCCATAGCTGGGACCCTAACAGGTGCTACCACTCCAGGTCAGGGTGGACTTGGGAATTCACCAGCAATTAAGAGGTGGTTCTATGCTCCTCAAAACCTCCTGATCAGAGGCCTTGCTGCTGGACATAGTTTATTGTCTTACCCAGGACGCGGATTTACTTTATCATCATACCCAGGATGTCCAAAGGGCTGGATCATGATCCAAATAAACCTTCAAAATGATTTTATACCAACACTTACTCTTTTCTGAAATTCATAGAACATAATATATGAAAATGCAAATTTTCATCCTCTATCTTTAAGGCATTCTTTCTGTTAACAAAAAGTCGACATTTGAGCAAGTCTGACTCGCAAACTGAACGATGCAAGGTTTCAATCTAGAACATACCAGAAATTGGCACCAAAACAAACGCCATTGTCAAGATGTGGTCATTTCATATTAAAAATGAGAACTTTTGCAATGATCTGATATTTGCCACCATACTATTGTTAAAATTCTGGTAAAGTTTATAGTTTGAAGAAAAGATATCCATGTTTGATTCTCATGTTGTCTGCCAAGGTGACTGGATTAAAGGCATATAAAGAAATTGTAGATTTTATTGTAGATATTTTCGTAAATGTTTGCTTCTTGTCTATTTTCCTTGCTTAACCATTTTTTTTTTCCTTCAGGTGTCTGACTCTGTATCCTGCATCCCTATGCAAGGCTCCCTGGCAGAAATGATTCACTGTTGCTTGGAGGAGGAGTTCAATTACCACGAAGGGCTAATAATGGCACTGAATTTCATCTCAGCTGGGGCCTATCTACCTCCACAGACCTGTTATTTCTTCATGAAGGACATTCTCTTGGTGAGAATCATGAATCAGCCCTGTTGTTGTTCTAAAAATTAGAATTTGAGGAAACGATTTGGGTGGGGGAGAACCAATAAGAAATACATACACACATACATCTATCTAACTGTATATCTATGTTTATCTATATATCTATATCTCCCTCCCTCTAGAGCACTTTGGCCTGGTGTAATGGCTCGCTTGTCTTGCTAGATCAATTACAACTTAATAGTGAAGTTGATCTGCACTGGGTGCTCCATGCTTTTGGCCTCATGTTACAATACAAGTAAGCTATGCTTACTAAATCGCTATATTTTGAGCACTTCAATGTGGTGTAATGGTTAGCAAGCTTGTCTTACTAGATCATTTGCGACGGAGTTTGATCCTCACTAGATGCTCCACACTTTTGGCCTTGTGCCACATGTAAGCTTCACTTAGTTAATCACTATATCTCACTCTCTCATGATATATCTTTCTATCTAACTATATATCTAATTATATATCTGTCTAGATTAGTGCTTCTCCAACTTTTTGAAGTTGGAGTGCACTTGAAATCCTACCAATAATTGTAGGTGCATTACAGGTATGCCCCACCCTACATTGTTAATTGGTTCCAGAGGCCACAAAATGAGAGTGGCTTAATAATATTTAATTTCCACCTTATCTACCAGTGATATAGGCTTATGCTTAGTATTAGCTCTTGCACTGGGACTTTTCTTCTTGGCCGTT